AAGGGCTTTTCCAGTCCAGGTGATTCTGGGATCCTGTGATGAAGCAGCTGAAGTGAAATAACACCAGGGTGCAGCCTGGCTTCTCCAGCACATTGTTGTCCCTTCTGCACATCCTCTGGTACGTGTGGAGATATGGGGAGGGTCAGGGTGGTCTTTTGGGTTTTCAGTTTTAAATATTGAGGAAGGGAAGAGGAAAAGATCCTAATGGGGGGGAAAAAAAACCCTACAACTAAAAAAAAACCCACGTGGTTTTGGTCCCTCTGGTCCCTTCTCCCCAGTGAGCCCCTCGATGTGTTTTATGGGGGGACAGGACACTGGGAGCTGCTTAATCCTCCCAAAAGCTCCGTGTGTGTGGGAGCAGCAGCTGCGTTGGGATTTATCCTGCCCTGTGATTTAGGAGTAAAAATGAACTGTTCAGCTGGAACCCAGCGCTGCCCGAGCTCGTCTTTGCATCCTCTGTAAGTACAAATACTCCACCTGCTGTTTTGATTTAAAAAAAATAAACCACTCAGGAATTTTTTAATGCAAACAGTATGTTTAAAAAAATATTTTAATAAGCTTTTTTTCAGAATTGCAGACAGGGAGCGGGGATAAGAGAAGGGAATTACTGACAGTGCAAAATTACTATGAGTGGAAAAAAATGTATAAAACTAATTTGTAACTTTTGTGTGTGTGTGGATGTGGTGGTTTTTTTTTAATATCACATTTAATCCTGTAGAAAGCCCCACAAGGATTTACGCTGTTGAACTGGATTCTCTCTTCAGGCTGCAGTTTCAAGCATTTCATGAATCCAGGACCAGCGCTGGAACAACCCAGCCCAGTCTCAGGTGCACGGGATCTTCTCAGCGCAGTTTGGAAACAGGTTCGAACGCTTCTGGGCTCCCAACTGCATCGTAGGTTTGGTTTTTTAAATGAAATCCAAGTTCCCATAGTTGTAGAGTTTTAAAGAGCTTTAGTAGTGCAATGACTTCTCCAATGCTAGTGGCTGCGTGTTGAAGAACATGAACAAAGTATTGTATAAAACACCAGCAGAAAGAAAATGTAAATCAGAATTAAATATTCAGGAGGTTTAGCTGAGCATGGCAGGGGGTGATTACGGAATGTCACGTCTTTTCTATGTATCATCACCCAAAAAAATAAAAGGTAAGATTAAAAAAAAACCAAAGCAACGTTCCTGAAAATATACACAGTGCTGGAATTTCACACACAAGCCTGAGACAATTCACTTAGAAACTTTCCTATGAATTTTTGGAAGTATTTCCAACTCGCAAACAAAGAAAAAAATGCATAAAAATAAAGTTGAAAATAGGACTCTGGTTGCAGAAAACTCTTGAGAAGCATCGCGCCGTCCTCGCGCCGAACCCGGCTCAAGCCCGTCTCTGAGGTAAGGCTGGGAGGTTTGGGGTTCTGATCATAAACCAGATGCTGAAGGTAACAGCAACCTCATTGTAAAGCAATCACTTAATGAATGATTAATACAGGCTGTTCGTTAACCAGCCTGCCTGACCATGTTAATTGCTGTCTGATTCCAGGCAGGTGGTGGCTCCTGCGCCTCCGCTGGGCTGGTGAGAACGGATCCTTCACAAGGTTTCTGGGAGGAGCAGGTTCACACACTCCAGGAACTCATCACGGGGATGGAGACAGAGGGTTTGGCTCATTAATGACCATAAAGTCCACGTCCAGGTAGTTGAAGAAGGAAACAAACCCAACAAACCCCTTAGCACCTGGGGTTTTTGGGGTTATTTTAGGTTGATACATTAGTTTTAAACCATGTTTTAAACGTTTAAAAATGGAATCGTAAAGACTCATAAAGTAAAAATAACCAATTAAAAATTAACAGCCCTCCTGGAAGCCACAGGAGGAGGAGATAAGATGATAAATTATACAAATGAACAATTTGTCCTATTTTTCATATAGCAGATGTGTAGCTGTGGCTTAAAAAAAAAAATAATAATAATAAAAATAAATTAACAAAACCCAAAACACTGGTATTAAAAAAAAAAAATCTTTCTATTTCAGGGATGTCAACCCAACTTCACCACCTTTCAAATGGTGCTAGTGGGAGGGTCAGCTTTGAGGAAGAATCTCCTTTTCTCCCACTTTAATCTGGCACTAGTTCTCTGTACCCACCCTCACCCCTTCCCCAGGTGACTCTCTACACGCTGGGTGTGTAGATGTGAGTGTGCCCAGTGTGTGGACGTGATATTTCTGCTCCCTCAGAAACACCCGGCCGTGTCAAACCCACTGATTCTCAGACATTCACTGTCCGGCCCCAGGGTACCGGCTGCAGAACCACTCGCCCCATTTCCTCCCCTTCCTGTGCTCAGGGAAATGATCAATAGACTGAAAAGAAATCAATGGATAATCTCAACACCTGATCTTGGCGAATGAGGGTTAGGAAACTGAAGCATTTGGCTGCTGTGAAATTGATCTGAGCTCAAAATAAACTGAGAAAAGTGGATGATGAAAGCAAGGAAAAGGTGTACAAAGCAAATGGGCATATTTGCCATAAAACAGAAGTAAGAAAAATGACATTTTCAAAATCAAACGCCTTCTAACCATTCTTGATGTTGTTTACTGTTTTTCTGAGGAGAAAAGAACATGTTGGTGACTAAGAATTATTTTAAGTCAATTGGTTTGGTTTGGGGTCTTTTTTTTTGTGTCTTTTTTTTGTTTGTTTTTTTTTAGAAAAGATTTCAGCAAAATAAAAGGAAGCTGACATTAGACTCAGGATATCAGTTCTCTCATAAAAGTTTACCAACTGTACAAGTTAAGAAAATTATACAAGCTTTTGTTTTTAAGAAAGGACAGTTCAATCAAGACTTTAAGTACTGTAAAAATCTTTCAAAGGCTACAAAGAAATCTGGAAAAATACAGAATGTATTTCTTTAGCCCAGATAAAGAATATGGAAAAGACATCATTGATGTCAACAATTTTACATATACAAACCTGACCTGGTTTATTTATTTCTTTACCTTTTAAAACTTCTATATATATAAAAATAGTTGTGCTCATAACTTTCAGGATTCATTAAGGGTTCCTTAACAACGGGATGCCACTTTTCTCTCGCTAGCCTGAGTGGAAGTCTCTGTTCCCTGCTCCGACGCGTGTCTTGGCATTTTATATTTGCTTTGAACTTCCTGCAAGGTTTGAACCAGCCCCCTGCCTCAAATAGGATGCTTTGTTCACTTGTACAATGCTCAAATGGTGTATCACACACACAAGTTTCTTTTTAAAGTTATTAGGCTGGGAGTATTTTTTTTTTTTGCAGAAACTCACTGATTTGTTTCTCAAATGTTTTTTTTTAAGAGCCTGAAGAATTCCCAGAACTACAGTTGCCAGCTCTGAGAAATGGAATATTCCTCCTACTGCTTTTCAGCACTGAAAAAAAAAGAGCCAACTAGAAGGTATTAAAAAAATAATAATAATAACATATAAAAAAAAAATCTCTCTGCAGATTGTTTTACAGAACTGGATTTTGTAAGGTAACCCATCAACCCTGAAAATTTTAGACACCCCAAATTTACTCCAAGGAATAAAATCAGCTCCTAAGTATTCAGTCATCCAGAGTCTCTAGTTCTTCAAGCCTCCCGTGTGAGTTTGCTTCTTGGGAGAACTCTGAAGAACCTGGACTCTCTTTTCCATTGCTGTTCATTCTTCTTCTTTTTAGAGGTCTTTCATTTTTTTCTTCAAAATCATTTTCGTTTCTTGAAGCTGAATGAGCAAGTTTTGGGTCAATGGCAAGGTTTTCAGTTTCATACCCATTTGTATCCAGATCCGTGTGAGGTGTTTTCTTGCCGCTGGTAGGTCCATTTACGTGCAATCCTTCCATTTTTGCTTCATCTTTATTTGGTAGCTCACCTGGCCCGTTAGCAGACACCCCTGCGGCACAGAGACCAACCGTAAGAAAGAGGAGAGAAGCACAAGCACTACCAGAGCCACCTGTGATGGCTCACAAAAGCCACGTCTGACAGGTCCCACTGAACTAAATCACAGAACCCCAGACTGGGTTGGGTGGGAAGGGACCCTTAAGCTCATCCAGTCCCAACCCCCCTGCCAGCAGCAGGGACCCCTTCCACTAGACCAGGTTGCTCAAAGCCTCATCCAGCCTGGCCTTCAACACTTCCAGGGAGGGGGCATCTACAACTCCCTTGGGCAACCTGTTCCAGTGTCTGACCACCCTCACAGTGAAGAATTTCTTCCTAATATCTCATCTAAACCTCCCCTCTTTCAGCTTAAACCCATTTCCCCTTGTTTTGTCATTAACTGCCCTTATGAAAAGTCCTTCCCCAGCTTTCTTGTAGGCCCCCCCCCAATATGTGGACCACTGGCTGAATGCAAATGTAGCTTTTTTAAAAAACATTTGCAACTTCAAGCTGCTGACACCTTGGAAAATATTTAAAACTACAACAGACTTGTTTTTAGAGAGGTGAGCTGAATGTCTTGCTTGGCTTGTCATCTGCCATGATTTGGCAACTCTCTTGAAAAGGAGAGACAGGGCACACACTTACCATTCTGATTACTGCTGCTGGTTGTGCTGTCTTCCCTCTCAGACTGGCTGGTGCTGCTGTTGGAAGTTGTAGGAGGAGGGGACGGAGCTCTACTGGAAGCAGCACTTTCGCTTTCATCCAGGAGACGGTCCATATAATCTCTGCAGAACAGAAACAGCCCGTTCAGCATTGCCCTGGCTGTGTAAAGAACTGGGGTTACTGGTGCAAAAATATTCACCGTGTCTAGTGCAAGTGAGACCAGTGCACATTTTACATCCTTTGAAATGCACAGACTTCTCTTGCAGAGTTAACAGCTTCGAGATCATAGAATCACAGACTGGTTTGGGTGGGAAGGGACCCTAAAGCTCATCCAGTTCCAACCCCCCTGCCAGCAGCAGGGACACCTTCCACTAGACCAGGTTGCTCAAAGCCTCATCCAACCTGGCCTTCAACACTTCCAGGGAGGAGCAGCCACAGCTTCTCTGGCCAACCTGGGACACTGTCTCACCACCCTCACACCAAACAATTTCTTCCTAATATCTCATCTAAACCTCCCCTCTTTCAGTTTAAACCCATTTCCCCTTGTTCTGTCATTAACTGCCCTTATGAAAAGTCCCTCCCCAGCTTTCTTGTAGCTCCTTCAGGTACTGGGAGGCCACTAGAAGGTCTCCCCAGAGCCTTCTCTTCTCCAGGCTGAACAGCCCCAACTCTTTCAGCCTGTCTTCATAGGAGAGGTGCTCCAGCCCTTGGATCATCCTGGTGGCTCCTCTGGACTTGTTCTAACTGGGGGCTCCAGAACTGGAGATCTCCTGCCTTAACTGGCCCACGTAGGTTTTCTCCACAGCAACCACCTCTGTGTGGACCAATGGCTGCAGCCAGCTTAGCTAAATTCAGGCTGTGCTTACACTAAGTCCCATGAGATCATGCACAGGCAGAAACTTCAACGTGCTGCCCTGTGCTGGACGGGGCTTTCAAGGTGATGCTCTCAGGCAGGTTCATACTAAGCTCTTGGGATTTGCTGTGGCAGTGATAACCTGTCATTAAAGTAAGTAAGTTCTGTGCACACAGAACCTCAAAAGGGATAAAGTTAAAAGGAAAGGAAAAACTTCTGAGTTAAAGACATTTCCAGATCTAAAATCTATTACTGCCCTACAATTTAGGTCACTAATAGTAAATCTCTTAGAAAGATTTAAACAAACAAAGCTGGTTGGTAAAGCTCTTGTATGTGTGGTATTAGCCTGGATTAACTCCAGGAACAACATATCCTCACACATAATTATTGTGGAACTGATAACTGCACCCTAAATTCCCACATCTACCCGCAAAAGCTTTCAACAATAGACAAGTACAATCCTTACTGACACTTCTGATCACCATATGCAGTCAACTGCAAAAGCATCAGAGGATGTTTTAAGTGACTAACAATGAAAAATATCTATTAATTTGGGCAAAAATGGAAAAAGAAAAAAAAAACAGCTGGAAGAAGAAGGGGAGACAGGCAGTCGCTGACAACTGGGTAAGAACATGCAGCAGCTCTGGGTGCTTCTTTCTACCAGTCCACTTCACAAAGCCACAGATGGCAACTCTTTAATGTCACACTGCAAGTTCACTTCAGTGGTCCAACACACAGTTCTAAAATGTTTAAAGAAACAACAACACTAAAAAGAAGGATTAACAGAGAAGCCAGGAACAAATGAGGAGAAAAAAATAATAGTAAAAAGACTTGGAGAACGTCAGTGGAAAGAGAGGGATCCTAAAATCACAGCATTGGAATGAAGGGCAGAAGAATACGTTGGCTCAGTTGCTCAGATTTGAGGGAGGAAAATACACAGCCATGCCTAGCAGAGTCGTGAATGGGGAAAGGAGCTATATCCACCCTAAAAAAGCCCTAGGACAGGGTACTGTGCTGGCCAGAATTCTTGCCAAACAATGTATTTCAAGAGGACGTTACAGCAGGTCCCACAGATCCCACCTGAAACTTGTGACTAAGGCCTCTGTATAAAAAAACATGTATTTAAAGTAACACAAGTGCTTAAAAAAATTCCACATTCTTGTAGAAATGTTACTTTTGTGAAAGATTTAAACAGAAAACAAACTAAATGAAATAGCTGTTCAATGCAAATTGTTGGCCTTATTCCAAATGAATGTGTTTGGGAAATTACAGCCACTAAGCTTTTCTCACACCTCGGCGGTTCTCCTGCTGCAAATCGGGACTGTGGAATCCCTGGGTTGTCAAACTATTTCAATATTAAATAAAGATTCAGATCCAACATGTAAAAAGCACATAAAAATAAATGCACATCTTACGTTACACCAGGGTGCAGATTGTATTTCTTCTTTCCAAATCGGGTCTGCTGGGCAAAGAAATCATAACGCTCTGATTTCTTCCACATGTAATAAAATGCTACACACTCACCAACCGATCTTGTTCGTACCTAGGAAATAGGTGCCATGCAAATTTTGAGGTATTTAAATACAGTCTGGGCAAAAAAACCCCCCAAAATCCCCTACCATTTAATCCCAAAGGTGTAAAATTCAAAGTCAATGCTTCTTGATCTTCCCCTGTGCACACACAGCAGGATCTGTGCACTTTTCTCAACTGAAGGGTTCACAGTTACAGAGGATTCTGGACTTTAGCAAATCAATGTAGTAAAAATTACTTAGAAGAAGTAAATATGGTTATTTATGGAGGAAATTTATTTACAATGACACTACTTTAAAAAAAATAGTGAAAATTACAGTTAAAATCAGCGTTTACTGCTTAAAAAAAAGAGTGAAAAATACACTTTAAATCAGCATTCACTGCTTAAAAAAACCCAGTGAAAACTACACTTAAAATCAGTGTTTACTGCTTAAAAAAACCCAGTGAAAACTACACTTAAAATCAGCGTTTACCTTATTTGCCTGAATGACGTGAAAATCCTTGCCGTAGACTTTCAGTCCTTGCTCAAAGTTCCGACATTCTTCTTCTGTCCAAACAGATAATTCTTCTACAGCAAGGAAATGCAACACAGAAAAAAAAAAAACTTAACAAAAAAAAAAGCATGTGGCCAATAGAAGAAAACTTCAGTGACAGAAACCATATGTGGAATTCTAATTTCTTGCACCATCTGCTGACTCAATGAGAACCACCTCCAGAAATTTCACTGACTAGCACAAAAATGCAAATTCTCCTTTCTAGTGAGTAGGTTGTTAATTAAGTAGTTAGTTGGTAGGGAGTGTTGTAAATGGTCTGTAACTCCGGCCCTGCAGCACGGGGGGCAATAATTAGGCAGCAGAAAGAGGAAGAAGGGCTTAGAAACCTGCTCTCACCATCCTGCCCCTAGGACCACGGGAAGGAGGGATCCTTCAAGCCAGGACACAACGGGAAGGAGATCATGTTATGGACTCAAACTGGTGGCTGGTTTTTGGAAGAAGCAGGGGAAAAGGAACAAAGAATGAGATCTTCCTTACTGCTGGCAACTGCCAGCAATGACAGGCTGTTAATTCCACTTAGGGAGAGTAAGAAACTGTGCTGCTCACACTACTGGCTGGGAAATCTTGGCCCCACTGAAGCCAGAATAAACCCCTAATAACTTTCAGCCACACTTTTAAGAACTTCATATAATTTGGCCTTATTGATTCTTAAGGTCACAAATAAATAAGGTTTAAAATAGCAGGAGAACAAACTAATCTTCTCTATTTGATCATTCTTGTCTTGTGATTTGCACAGTAAACTCTGGAGAAGCCACAGGTTTGAAAGCAGAGCCAACAGATCAATGTGCAAGGAAAATAACCTGTGCTTTCTCTTAGTTTCTTGTTCCTTTGAGTATAAAGATCAATACCAAAACAGGGAATACTTAATGCTCCAAAAGAATCTATAAGACCAGGGTCTTCTCAGTGTTGTACTTTTAAAATAGAAGGTCAAGATGCTCATTCTCCTTTATTCAGATTTGTGAATTATTTCATGTTTGTTCCATGAACTTTGATAACTGTCTAGAAGAACAAGGAACAAAATGCCTAAAAAATGCACAATTCGGTTGCTAAGAAGTAATTTTAAACTTTTAACTTGTTATGATAAAGTTACAGATATAAATATCGAGCTCTGTTGACAGGAGGTTAATTTACATGCCCTCTTTGAGCATGTACCCTTTATACTACATCTGCTAATTTCATTCTCTCAGAGAACAGTAAGAGATTGGCTGAAGGCTGCATTTATTTGGGCACTGATATCTCAGATTTACATGCAGTCGAGCTCAGTCTGCTGAGAGCAAAACCCAATACCTGTGGTGTGACAAATAAAACAAGAGTTCAACAACACAAACTTAACTTCTAGGGTATGCTCACCTCTGGCTGCTTTTACATTAAATCTCAACCTTCGTAATGATTCTTCAGTATCAAAATTGCACTTAACCAGTTCATACAATGCCTGGCAGGATGAAAAGACATACATTTAATATTCTAGATATACCATTCAATTTATGTGGTGCCACAGAAACATACTTAGTAAATCACTATTACCTATTAAGATTAAAAATAACCTCTTTGAATGAATGTAATACAATTTAAGACAGCATAAAGACATATTTCCTCTGTTTACATTTCCAAATCTCTAATTACATAATCAAGTATATAGCCAGGTAAAATATTTTAACACTGTCATCCATGTTTGTAAAACTGATGGGGTTTTTTTGTGTGTATGCATTCATTCAGCTTTTAAAAAAATCTGTAACTAAAAGAACAGAACTCATTTCTACACAATGATTTATATATAAAATAATGCACTGATGCATAAAGCAACATTAAGCCTAAGTTAACGGTTTAATATTTGTTGAGAGGGAAAAAGCCCCATCACATTTCTATTTCCACAAGGAATAATAAAGCTGTTTCAAACACAATTTTAATTCTCAGGAGCAAAATAAAATAAAGGGATATCTCATTCTGTAACAGTGAATTACAAATCCTAATTATTCTGATATACCTGCTCATTGTCTTTAATATGTGATCCCTCAGGAATTGCATCTAAGCCTTTCTCATCACCCGTACGCCTCGATGCTTCAGTGAGGAACTCGATCACTTTATCTTCTGGTAAGAAGTCAGGATTCCACAGCAGCTGGTCATCATTTTCATACACTGAATTATGCACAAGAAAAAGCAAAGCAAGCTAAATCCAACAATATAGAAGTTTATTCTCTCTGACAAAGCTAGTGATTATGAAACCTTAGAAGATCATTAGAGCACCAACGTGAATCCAGAGCACATGTGAGGACAGGGAGAAGATATCCTCACAAATGCAGTGATCCCAGTGACTAGGATACTATACCTCATACTGTCTTCAAATCTCTAGCACTATCACTGCTCTAGATTCTAAGACCATTTCTGAAACTCCAGACACTCCACCTTCCCTGTCCTCCTCCTGAAACCACCCAAATCACCAGGTAGCAGCAGGATGTGACAGTCCCTGAATGATCCACACTTTTCCCTAAGCAGCACAGTTTTGCTGATGGCAGCCAGCAGACGTGGAAAATTATTTCAGAGACTAATTATATCTGTTTTCTTGCAAGACCAGTAGGATCAGTCAAACAAAACCAAAAAGCAAACCACCAAAAATGGTGCTAAAACCACTATCAGGTGTCTGGACCAGTAAATAGAAAATTCTCAGCTAACATGGCTGGGAAAAGCCAGCAACAAGGTCCACTACTTCTCCAGAGAAGATGACACCCAGATGCCAGACATTCTGAAGTCAAACAGCTCCTGAAAGGAAATTTTGCAAGACTTCCAAGAAATACTTTCTAAAAAAAAAAAAATTCAGATAAAGATTGCTGAAGTTTAATTATCTACTGTTTTTTTCAGAGCTTTTGCATGAGCTTTCAGAGCAGGGGAGCCACAGTAAACTGAAATAACTGGGAGAAGCATGGCTGAATGATACATCCTTTGAATTATCACCCATTTTTATTTTGAAGAACCTACAGGATTAAAATACCACTAGAGCAATATAAAGTAAAATTCAGGTTATTAAAAAACAGAATCAGGAAAGTATCCAGACCTTGCTTGTGTCTCAGTCCTCAATGAAAGACAACCTTACAAAAACCAGCAAGAAAGGAACTTTAACATTGATTCCATGAGCACATTTCACTGCATTACTCCACAAGAGAAAGAAGGAGGGAACGCCTGGGAAAGCAGGGTCAGCACAGGAAGGGAAGATACAGCAGCATTCTGTGCAGCTGGAAAGGTCAGAGTGGTGGTTTGGTGCATCTCCACTTGAAAAAAGTATATTTTTAAGATGAAAGTAGACTACAAATAAAGACCTCAAACCAGTAAGGAAAATTATTAAGTGTCTTGCAAAGAAAGACAGCTCCATTTCACACACGACACACTCTTTGGAAACAGCTCCCAATAATTTTTGGGGAGATTTTTTTTTTCCCAAAGGCCTAATGTGACGTTTGGTTGCTCATTTAAGAGAGTCTAGGTATCTTGGGATACAAACTCCAGCAGAAGCAACATTTATTTTCAGGAGATAACTGATAAATCCGTTCTAAGCCACCCCTAATGATGCAAGCTCAGTACACTGCAACGTTTAGGAACGGCAGCAGTCATTAAGTCTCAAAGTAGCTTCAGGACTTTTCAGTTTTCAGAGGTATTCTTTCAAGTCCAAACCTTCTAGAAACATCTCTAGATGTAGATTTTTAATAACCTGAAATTGTTTGTTAGCAGCTAATTTGGTCTCCAGCCCCGCTTCTCAGAGAGCCAGTCCACTGTAATTGGATTACTGTCGATGACGTGGTCTTCCTTTCCTTACAACAGCATGTCAGAACACATTCTGAAAAGCAATGTGGTTATTCATAAGAGTTCTAACATTTTTGTGCTTTTGCTTACAGGGCTGGATCTGAAAGGACTGGCTCCCTTAGTGTTTGGGAATTTTACAATTAGAATTTTCCCTTCATTAGAGAACAACTGAGATGATGGGATACGTACATGAAAGTACTAAATATATAGTCTCAGACATTTATTTTGCAACTTTTTAAGCTTCATTAATGTTTCAGCTGGAGTCACAGAATCACAGAATATTAGGGATTGGAAGGGACCTCCAAAGATCATCCAGTCCAATCCCCCTGCCAGAGCAGGAACCTCAATGAGATCACACAGGAAGGTGTCCAGGTGGGTTTTAAATGTCTCCAGAGAAGGAGACTCCACACCCTCCCTGGGCAGCCTGTCCCAGTAAAGGTTACATCCAAAACACAGCAGACAGGAAAGAAGTAGCAGAAGATATAACCCCCTCACAGGTATATAAAACTAGAACAGCCCTAGCATGATTAGTGAAAATTTAACTTTCACCCTCAGTGGTTTCTGCCCATGACGTAGGTTCTCTGTTCTGCAGGGTAGTGTTCATGTCTCTGAAAAGCTGTTTGATGTAGGGTACTGCAATGCACAAAGCAGCTATATCTTTTTTTATTATTGGAGGCCAGAAGCCATTTAGAGCTGAGTAAATACCAGGAAAAGCAGGTGACTGACCAGTAAAACATCATTTACTGCATCTCAGGCAAATACACAGCTCTATTTTCAGACAGAAGCAGGAAAGCGTGCAAAGAGCAACTTCTTCACGGCTAAAAAGCAGATTATTTTCTCATTTGCCATTTTCTATTTTTAATGGAAGCTCCTGACTCCTCACGGAGTTTTAAATGACATCCTCTTCCAACTTCTCTGGCTACAAAGTCCAGAGCTGACAGAACGTGTCAGCTTCAGAGTGAGCCTGCTCAAAGTCAACAGCAGGACTGATGTTCTTTTCAGGTAGTTTCCAGGTAGATCAGGCTACAGCATAGCTACTGCGACCTGGGGCTTGAAGCAAGACAACTGCTGCTCCTGGAGTATATCCTTGGATTCTAGGAAGGCACCAAGTTTTGTGCTGGTTAGTTAAAAAGCTAACATACAAAACTACCAAAGCCACAGTCCCAAACTGGCCTGCAGTGTAAACAAATTCTTACTAATGGGCTGAATGAGCAGGAAAATTTGCTTCCTTTAAGCTCACAACTGGGTTTCACAGAATCCTAGAATGGTTTGGATTGGGAGGGACCTTAAAGCTCATCCAGTTCCAACCCCCCTGCCAGCAGCAGGGACACCTTCCACTAGACCAGGTTGCTCAAAGCCTCATCCAGCCTGGCCTTCAACACTTCCAGGGAGGAGCAGCCACAGCTTCCCTGGGCAACCTGTTCCAGTGTCTGACCACCCTCACAGTGAAGAAGACTGGTTTAGACTGGGTCTACCTTTCCTGAGTTGATTATATTGACAGCATACAGCCAAAGGTTCTGGTTGTGAGGGGGGGGGGGAAATTTCTTGGAAAAAAACCCCCAAACCAAAAAAAAGTAGAACAAGAAGTTCTTTAATACTGATTGGTTTTAAAATGTGAAAATCAAAAGCTGCTGGTACTATTTTGCCTCTTTTTAATGTGTTAATCCAATTCCAGCAACACAATTTCTTTATTAGCTATTTTGTTTTACATAATAGATAATATTAGATTAGATAGATAATATTAATTAGATAGATAACTAAGTAGACTAGGTGGAGAGGTTAGCATAAGCTACATAGAAAGCTTGTGCACATCTGTGTCCAGTTCTGGAGCCCCCATCACAAGAGAGACATGGAGCAGTTAGAACAAGTCCAGAGAAGGGCCACCAGGATGATGTGAGGGCTGGAGCAGCTCTGCTGTGAGGACAGGCTGAGAGAGTTGGGGCTGTTCAGCCTGGAGAAGAGAAGGCTCCAGGGAGACCTTCTAGTGGCCTCCCAGTACCTGAAGGGGCTCCAGGAAGGCTGGGGAGGGACTCTTCATAAGGGCAGTTAATGACAAAACAAGGGGAAATGGGTTTAAGCTGAAAGAGGGGAGGTTTAGATTAGATATTAGGAAGTTCTTCACTGTGAGGGTGGTCAGACACTGGAACAAGGTTGCCCAGAGAAGCTGTAGATGCCCCCATCCACCCTGGAAGTGTTCTTGGCCAGGTTGGATGAGGCTTTGAGCAACCTGGTCTAGTGGAAGGTGTCCCTGCTGCTGGCAGGGGGGTTGGAACTGTATGCTCTTTAAGGTCCCTTCCAATCCAAACCATTCTATGATTCTATGATCATCAAATTAGAATACAAGGGTGCAAGAGGCAACAGGCCAGCAACACAATGATTCTTTTCCCCTTCCAAAACTCAAGCTCTGATGGTGAAATACAGGATGAACTACAGTCTGAGATGATGGTTCTGTTTTTTTTTCACTTGAAGGAGCTCTTTTATTTTGCAAGACACACGACATCAATCAAATCTTTTCTTTCTCCCCATTAGAAAATAATCTCAAACACAGTGATCATGGTAATAGTGCTAAGTCTCACCTTTTTCATTCTCTTTGTATTTACATACGCCAGCTGGAATTTCAGCTTGAAACATAGAGCCTACCATGATTTCCTGTTTTGAAATAACAGAAACAAGAAGTTAAGCAACCACAGCTGTGATGGTTTTTGTTAGCAAACAAAAGAATGAACACATTTTTTATTTTTTTTTAATGCCTTAAAACTTTCATTGTTCAACATCTAAAAATACAGTTAACAGGCACTATATGGAAATGGGATTTTTGACTATTTGGGGAGGTCTTTAACACTTCTTACTATCAAAAGTCTTATATTAATGGGGGAATAAATACTGGGTGATCTATAGAGCTCAGAGTTACTAGGGAACAGATCAAATAATTATTAATGAATACAGGTTTTATAAAGAGCATTTAGTATTTACCTTTTTCCAGTCTTCTGAGGGAATATAATCTTCATCTTCTTCAGATTCCTCTTCTATTTCACTATCTACAAGACATTGTTCAAAAATTTACACAACATGAGCTGTGATGAGGCCCATATATACCAAACAGGCTGAGTGAGGGGGCCTGGGAGCACGGCAGCAAGAGTGACAGGGCAGAGGAGCCCAGCCTCCCATCCCACCAGCCACACAGCAGTCCTGCTCTGCCTCACTCCCACCTTACCTAACACCACACAAGTGCAAATGGCAGCTTTGGTGACAATACTAAATGTTTCAGTATTGACAACATTAAAAAATGACCCACTCAGTGTTCACATTTAGAATGGATTAAAACACACTCTTAAAAATTAAGAGTGAAAAATTAAGGTTCTGAAAAATTAAGGCACAAATGAATACATCCATTAATTTTACTACTATCTAATTAAAATTTGCTTTCCCTCATCCAGCTTTGAAGCAGTCAAAATTATCCATATCCAAATTTACTACAAGCAATTACCTTCTGAAAGTATTTTTATGTGGATGTCCAGCATCCACATGTGGGTTTCAGCATCATTTTCAATGAGTTCCTAGCTTAGCTGCTTTTGAAATACTTCTGAAAGTGTTTTTATGTGGATGTTCAGCATCCACATGTGGGTTTCAGCATCATTTTCAATGAGTTCCTAGCTTAGCTGCTTTTGAAATACTTCTGAAAGTGTTTTTATGTGGATGTTCAGCATCCACATGTGGGTTTCAGCATCATTTTCAATGAGTTCCTAGCTTAGCTGCTTTTGAAATACTTCTGAAAGTGTTTTTATGTGGATGTTCAGCATCCACATGTGGGTTTCAACATCATTTTCAAGGAGCTCCTAGCTTAGCTTCTGCTGGTTTTTTCCCCTTACAGCAGCTGTCACTGAATTTAAGGTGTGAGAAATCTGCAAGTATGCTTTTCTCAGTCTTACTGGGATTTAGCAGGCTTGGATGTACTGCTCAGAGATGCAGAACAGCATTTAAAATAGATTATTTGGGATAAGGACTGGCAAAAATTTTAAGCTCTTTATGATATAGGCTAGTTGCCTTTCACAATGTACTGAAAGCAAGGGTACTATCTGGTTTATGTCTAGCATGTGACAATATCAGCACTCAAATTACTGGTACATTCAATTACATTCTATATGTAGATGAACGTTGTAAAAACCCCAAACCCTAGTGCAATCTACTTGCATTATGCTAATGCTATGTTTAAAAAAAGAGAGTTTTCAGTTAAGACACTTGCAATCCTCTGCATAACTACATCATGAGTTTCCTTGGCATTTCTGGATTAAAATAATCTACGGATTAGAAAATGGCACTTCTACAATGTTATGGCTAGTAAGTATCAAGTATAAGGTATCATAAGGACCTTTTGCTTTAACTTTTGTTTGTTAAAACATAGAACAGGAGGAATTCAAACATTGGCAACAGTCATTTTCATCATAGAAAGGTAAAATAGGTGTTGTCCAAACAGCCCTGCTGATAGCTCAACACTCAAAGGTTCAGATCCCATTAAGTAAGAGTGCCACAGACATGAGAGCTGTCTAAAGGGACAGCCACACAACACTGGCTCATCTCAAATGGAAGGAAAACCAAGTTTTAAACAAAACAAGAGAGAAAATAATCAGTCCACAATGGTGGCAACAGTATCAAATTTGGAATTCTTGAAGCAAACTTTCTTCATCATTATCTCCCCCTTCGTTATTTCAGTTTTAACAATCTATTGGCCTTTTTCAGATTTCATTGTTTTCTGTATTAGCAATCTTGAAGAAATCTGGGGTTCTATTTCTACTGAATTTCAGTTTCTACTTTTTCCTTCAGTTGTACTTCCAGCTTCTTTGAATGAGTCCATAAACTGGTGTCACTGGGCCTCACCATGATAGTCACACACTGTGCAGCAATTATCTAGTTGGAACAGTCCATTTCCTACTTGAAAATATTGTTACCTATGTCCTCAGTATGAACTGGCAGTTGAAACTATGTTGGCAAGGTAAAATCATACTAAATAATCATTTACTGCACCTGGACTGCAGGTGCAAGAAAATTTTTCTGAGTTTTTTTGACTGTTTAATCCATAGCAGCCAGTTTGCAGTGTCATGAACTGGACTGTTACAACACTGGGAGCAGTGTCATGAAAGGATTCACACTGTCTGAGAGCCTGCTTTTTTAAAACTATAGAAATTTTAATTTTTCCACAAATTGAACCCTTTCTTTTAAGAAGAGAGAATATCTACTGTCCTTACACAGTCCCTTATCAGCAGAGAAGATAGCCCCCAACATAAGAAAGCCCAACATAAGAAAGACATGGACCAGTTAGAACAAGTCCAGAGAAGTCCACCAGGATGATCTGAGGGCTTGAGCAGCTCTGCTGTGAGGACAGGCTGAGAGAGTTGGGGCTGTTCAGCCTGGAGAAGAGAAGGCTCCGGGGAGATCTTATAGCGGCCTCCCAGTGCCTGAAGGGGCTACAAGAAAGCTGGGGAGGGACTTTTCATAAGGGCAGTTAATGACAAAACAAGGGGAAATGGGTTTAAGCTGAAAGAGGGGAGGTTTAGATGAGATATTAGGAAGAAGTTCTTCACTGTGAGGGTGGTCAGACACTGGAACAGGTTGCCCAGAGAAGCTGTGGCTGCTCCTCCCTGGAAGTGTTGAAGGCCAGGCTGGATGAGGCTTTGAGCAACCTGGTCTAGTGGAAGGTGTCCCTGCTGCTGGCAGGGGGGTTGGAACTGGATGAGCTTTAAGGTCCCTTCCAATCCAAACCATTCCATGATTCTATGATTCATTCTATGAAGATTTAGCATTCAGCTAAAAATAGGACTTTTTTGTTGCCTGTTCTTTTGAGCATGAGGATCATCAGGAGCAGCGTTGTAGAAGAGAACAAACAATGTTTATAGCTATCAACACGCATATTTCAGACAGAGAATACTGTGTTAAGCAGAGCTGTTCTTAACCAAAGGTTAATCACACTGAGATTACTGTGCTTAGCACTCAACTGTACATACTTGTATCAAAATATTTACAGCGACGAGGGCGAATTATCTCCTGTGGATCTTGAGAAGCAACAGATGGTGCTGGGTCGTCATTAGATGACTGTGTCTCATCTTCCTGACCTGATGAATCTTTTATGGTCTCCTCCTTAAATATAAAAAAAAACCACAGGAGATTAGCTATCCCTTGTATGTGACAAACACTATTTTGGCAGTATTTTTTTCCAAAACTCTCAATATATCAAACTGAAATATTTTATTTTACCTGACTGTATAGATTGTGGCCTGTCCAGACCGAGTCACAACAAATGTGTAAACATTTGTATGATTTACTGACCAGGATTTTAGGCAGATCAATTTAACACACAGACTCTAACCCACAAATTAGAAATACAAACCACAATTAAATATCACGCGTCGTTTTTTAAACCACTCAAGCAAATCCTTGCAGTTTTTATTTCATTTCATTTAACTTTAAATTTTACTTTGGTCTTTAAAACCCTTTCTTGTAACTTTAGAATAAAAAGAGGAAGAATTATTTACTGGCTATACTTTTCTCAACCAAATGGAAATAGTACCTTCTATAAAAATTAATGTCAATAGTGTGGTTCAACCCCACAGGAACAGCATATCAGGAGACTTGAGTATGGACACTGAGTCATTAAAAGATCAAAAATTAGAACAAGTTTCTTAGAAGATAAACCACGACAACTTATGGGAATTATTACAACTAAGAGAAATTAAAATTATAAAGGTTAAAAAAATATAGTGTAAAATATATTTATATAAAAATATATTTATATTATTATATAAAATATATTAATATTATATTATTAAAAATTTTAAAAAATATTTCAATGCATGTGGTCAATATCTTCTATGTGTTTTATGACTGTTTCAAGCACTCTTGCTTGCTAGTTCTAAGGCAGAACCCTTAGGCACAGCCCATGTTTCTGTGTACCTTTACCAGCAACCAGAGCATTATCACGCGTGCAGCTTAAAGCAGATTAAAAATAGAAAATAGCTAAGTGGAGGATAGCTAAATAAGCTGCAGAAAGATGAGCACTTGCAGAGAAAGCCTGAATGATTTATAAAATCATTCCACCCCCACAGATGTATTTTGCTGCCTCTCTGCTAAGAGCACGCAGAATTTCAGCGCTCTCATTCCTGCACCCCGAGGCAAACACCCAGAGCAGGTCAGGCAGCTCTCCTTGTGCCCAGTCCTCCCCACCACTTTTGTTCCAACCCTATCAAAACTGGGGTCGAACAGGGGAGCACATACTGTGAACTCAACCCCAGTACCAAGGCTGCGACCAGCCTGAGCCACGGGCCACGTCTGCGGTGCCAGACTGCGAACCGCCGCCACCGCTGCGTGCTGCGAAGCGTCAGTGCCTGACAGAGGGACAGAGATGAGTCCTCTTGCTGCTGACAGCAGTGACAGACACTCAGATTTTATCCATTTTAACAGAAAAGATAGAAGGCATCTTAAATCAGCTAAAACCAGAACTGGTGAAGTACAGAGGAGGTCATGAGAACACAGAAGATGAGAGTTGTGTCAGGAAGGAATTAAGAAGTAAGGACACAAAAAGGAAGTGAGACTTCAAGAAAACCACCACAAAATAAAACACTTTTCTGGCTTATTTTAATTTTGCATACTTCATGTTATGTAAGTTTCTCCCCCTCTCCAGCTTGTTAAACTTTTTTCGATGTAATGTGTATCTTCCTATGTATCTTCCTATCTATCTATGTATCTGCCTTCTTTTTGAACTATGCAGCCCATACAAACAGCAACATTTCACAGCATCTGTCAAGGGATGTGAAAGGGAGTTTGTAAAGCCCAGAACTTTGTAAAGTTTGGAAAGCCCAGAACTTCATTTTCTGAATCAGATCAAGGGATGTGAAAGGGAGTTTGGAAAGAACTTTGTAAAGTCTGGAAAGCCCAGAACTTCATTTTCTGAATCAGATCAATCATTCCTCACCTCTGTGTCACGTTCCACGGATTCTAAGATGGGTAAGATAACAAAGAACAAAATGCATCCTTTTTAAAGCCAGATGAGGTAATGCAACTTCCATTAATGCCTCAGCTTTTTTTTGTTACTGACAATAGGAGGAATTTTGTATTTTAATGGAATTTAGGAGGCAACTCTGAATGCCACCAGTAAATGGAGAAGTTACGACCGTGCCCGCGGCAGGACGGGATCGTTACAAAGATGTACGACAGACACAAGTAAAAAAGACTCTTCTAAAATCAGAAAATTTACTTTAAGAGTACACTGCACATGATTTTAAAGATGCTAAGTATAAAACTATACATTTGGGAAAGATATTTGAAGCACTAGATTCAATTTAAATTAACAATTTAAATATGAGCAGGGCTGCCAGGCTGAAAAAAAAATACAATTGAAAATGTCAAAGCTAGAAAACTTGTGGCAATCTCCAATACTCAGAGCCACATTTAATTCAATTCCTCACTTCACTGCTCAGTTTCAGTACATCAGCTTTTCATCTTGAAACAAGTATTCAGCCATATCCATCAAGGTGCTTCCAGGCATTTAAGACTTCAGTTTTGAAGGCAGACTCTTTCTGAAGGACAATTACAATCCCTTATTATGTGATGCTCTAGATATACATCTACCCTAATTTGCCACAGCAACAGTTTGGGATGATACAGATGAAATTAAGAGCAATGAAAAGGAATATAGATAGGTAATTAAAAATAAATATTAGAGTTCAGTACACAAAGCATCTGAAATCAGCCACACCATGAATCACATCTGCCACATCTGGCACCTTGAGTGGCTGCCTAGTACAGCATGGATGTAGGAAAATCAGTTTCATATTAGTGTAAACACTCACTTTGTTTTCACCACTACAGCCACTGTTGTCATCGTTATCAACATCATCATCATCTTCTCCCTCCTCCTCCTCTTCTTCATCATCTTCATCATCATCATCTTCTTGGAGTGGAATGGTACCATCGTAGCCGTAACGGCTAAGTAGCTCCTGGATTGGCATATCACTTTCCTGACAAACATCCAAACAAAGTTGGAGATTTTAACAAGAATATTTCACATCCCACAGCTGCTCTACAGCTTAAAGGTGTGCATTATAAACACAACACAGCAAAACCAAATGAATTCACATCACGTATACTAACAATGGCCACTCCAAAATGAATGGATGGTCAAAATTAGAAGTTTTGGCTCCTAAGAAAAGTGTGTGGGCTTTTATGCAGGGGAACTTTTTATTTCCTAATCCATTTATAAATGTACAGCAGACCTCCAGCAGGTCGAGGGAGGTAATTCTCCCCCTCTACTCTGCTCTCATAAGGCCCCACCTGGAGTAGTGTCCAGTTCTGGAGCCCCCAACACAAGAAAGACGTGGACCTGTTAGAACGAGTCCAGAGGAGGCCACCAGGATGATGCAAGGGCTGGAGCAGCTCTGCTGTGAGGACAGGCTGAGAGAGTTGGGGCTGTTCAGCCTGGAGAAGAGAAGGCTCCGGGGAGACCTTCTAGTGGCCTTCCAGTACCTGAAGGGGCTCCAGGAAGGGTGGGGAGGGACTTTGTCCAAGGGCAGGGAGTGACAGAACAAGGGGTGATGGCTTGAAAGTGGCAGAGGGGAGATGGAGATGAGATGTGAGGAAGAAATTGTTTGGTGTGAGGGTGGTCAGACACTGGAACAGGTTGCCCAGAGAAGCTGTGGCTGCTCCTCCCTGGAAGTGTTGAAGGCCAGGTTGGATGAGGCTTTGAGCAACCTGGTCTAGTGGAAGGTGTCCCTGCTGCTGGCAGGGGGGTTGGGACTGGATGAGCTTTAAGGTCCCTTCCAACCCAAACCATTCCATGATTCTATGAATCTCAAAAGGGCCACAAAGCTCATGCAAAGGGCACCAAAGGACACTATGTCCCACCCCTCCCTTGGAATTTGGCTACTACTATCTGACCCCAACACAAGAGCTGCAATGTAGCAGGTTATGGCTGGTCACACCGTACCCCTTCAGTACACGGAGCCAACACACTCCTTACTGCAATAAAGATTGCTGGTATTCCCTTCACTGCCCAAAAACTACCTGAAAAATGGTGGTATTTTGTACATATTTATGGAAAAAAACCATCAAATGTGTGTCAGCAGCAACAGGTTGACACAGACAGCTAAGACACCGACAGTTTATGCAGGCAGGAACTTGTCCTAGTGCAAGGCAGTGATTTCTGCAGTGTCTCCAAGAATTCAGCAGAATAAGGACCAGAACTTGCAGTACCTGGCTTGAATTATAGAGTTAAATCTTCATTTGGTGAGTTGTACTACAGGGATAGTTCTACACAGTTCTACAACCCTGGCTTTGAATACAAAATTACACCCAAAACGCACCTCTCTGTCTCACTGGACCTCTCCCTTTCCTGGGTAAAACAAAAAATGAGGGGTTGGATGGGGGTGAGGGATCACCTTATGCTCAGGATCACCTGATATCCAGGTAAAGACAGAGTGAACTATGTGACAGGCATAATACCATATGGTACCTAGGCAACTGGCATTGTATTTACAGTATTTTCTTAGGTACAGGCTCTTCAATCCAAATAGCCCATTACCATTCAAAAAGCTCCAAGGGGCAGCAACTCCCTAAGATAAAATACAAATGATGATTTCATTATTGGAAGGTTACAAAAGTAACAAGTCTTATTGAAAGTCAGAGAAAATTCTTATGTGGAAGATGTTTAGTAACAAGAAATTAATTACAACTCATGGATCTGGAGTAGAGTAAGTGAGGGGGAGTGATAGAACTGCATCAGAAGGAGCACACAGAAGGTAAATATAAAGGAATACACTCTTCTGATTGAAGAGCTCAAGGGCAACCACTGAAACAAACACAGAATAGGTCTGAAAAACCAAATATGTTTCTCACACTGAATGAACTGGGTAAAATTGCCACATGTCTTGTGGATACAGAGTTTACAGAGGTTAAAAATAAAATGGACAAATCCAAAGGAGGAGGACAAATAAAATTGAGAGGCATTACAGACAGAGAGACAACATTTTTTTCATAGGTGCCTGAAGTGCACCCTGCTAGAGGCTGGAAGAGTATTTGGGAGAAACACTGCACGTTGCTTCTACAGTTCTTTCATTTAAAGACAAGGAGTTACTGGTGCACAACCCTAAGAAAACCCAAGAGTCCTCCTGGAAAAGGACCCCAAAAGGAGAAACCAAGTGATTATATGGAACAACAAATGGAAAAAAAGGAGTAAAAAGCTTAAAAACCTGTAAGTAATGCAGGGAGGCACCAGCCACAGCACCCTGACAATGCTCACCACTTCCTAGAGGCACCCAGGAAGCCTGCACCCACCACCCTGCAGTGCTCTGCCCACAGACAGGCAGCACAGAGGGAAAGAACTCGGCCTCACACGTGTCAGATCCTCCAGGTTAGACTCCCTCCAGCTGATGCTTTGTACAGTCAGCTTAGCCAAGAGCAGGAGGAAGTGGAGTTTCTGCAACTTGCTGGGGCCTGGTCATTTATTATTTCCAAAGCAGAGTGGAAATGCAGTTTCCTGCTACCAAAATTACACTGCCAAAGTTTCCTGTGTTTTGGAAAGAGTCAGTGTATGCCCAGAACATGGAGAGATGTGCCTCATCCCAGAACACCCTGTGAGCACTGTCTCTTGGGTGGCTGAAGAAGGAATACTTTGGTCACATCTGGTAGAGATGGTCCTACACAGGAAAACAGGATTCCTGAATATATGCCTGGATAGGATCAAGGACAGTCTGCTGTACCACCTTCACTTTCCTGCCCAAGAAAAACCCTTACCTTTCCAGAAATATCACTGAGACCACCAAATCCAATACTTCTGATTCCCTTCAGGTCTCTAGAGAAGATATGCTACTGCCATTTAGGCAAAAATGTACACAGGTACTTACACAGAGAAAAGCAGGATGCTGCTCAACCTCAAGTACTGCCACGTTAGAGATTCACCAGTTTCAACCAATGAGTAGAAAAGATCCTTTACCCTCAGAGGAAGGTCTAATTTTTATGACAGTTAGGAGTGAAAACCATTAAGGTTCAAAAATGTTTTTTGCAAAATGTGACTGTCACCTTGTCTCTGAAGGAATTGAACTAGTAAATGGGGAAATCTGAAATAATATGTGTAAATGTTGGGGGAAAGAAAAAGTCAGAAGAGTACTTGTCATGAGAATAGTTTTGAGCTGGCA